AGTCCCCCCGCCGGCGTACGTTCAGATAGCCGATATGGAGAAGAAACAGCATCTGCTGGTGCAGGAACAGCAGGCGTGGCAGCAGTATACGCAAGACGGGATGCACGGGCAAATGGGTATGGCTAAGATCACGGGTGGGTCAGGTTTTTACCCTTCGATGCCTCAACAAGCGGCGGTAATACCGTTCGGGATGATGATGCAGCAGCAGCAGCAGCCGCAGCCTGGAGGGTACTACTATGGACCAGCACTCTGAAACTGGCTCTTGTTCAACCAAAATTGTCTCTTTTTCCCATCCTGCAGTCTGGTTTGGATTCTCATTTATGAATAATATATCATATATATATATATATACATACATATATATATATATATATACAAGTACATGGGATCTATATGTCTATTTTTTTTTTATAACGGAGCACTGCTAACTGTTATCCTTCAGACGTGTTAGTTAGGTCCGATCCAAAAGCAACCTTTGTATATGAGCCAAATTAGCTCAGAAATTACCTCCCTCCCCGTAATCCCGCCATGAAAGATCGAACACTTGATTTTGAGGTGTTAACCACCGCAACTCAACCACTCGACCACTTGATGGTGGGTTCTATATGTCTATGTTGGTTAAGCTTTGAAAGAGTTTTTCTTGTTTTGCATCAGGAGTGCAGTTTTATGTGTAAACTTTGATGCTAAATGCATAAATATGAAGCCAATAAAAAAAACATGAGCTTCTGAGTCATTATTATTACAAAACCGCTGTCTTCTGACAAAATCTGAGAAAATGATGTTTTGACTTTTGTGTTTGCTGAATCAGTCGTTGACTTTTTTATTTAATAGGTCATTTTGAATTTCGGTTATGGTAAACCGAATCAAATCTAACCAGTAATCTCGCAGAGGTTTCGATTTAGAAATTGTTCGCAAGTATTTTTTTTAAGAGTGTTAAATTAATTGAACCAGTAATCTCGCAAGGGTATAGGCCATGAAATAAGAAATTGATTTTTTTAAATTACCATGTTTTTAAGAAAGATGAAATCCAAATTTGATAAAATTCAAACCCAATCAAAAAAACGATATAAAACACAAAACTAAACTAAAATAATCGAAACTTGAACTAAATACAAAATATTCTTCCCTAGTTTAAACCTCTGATCCAAAAAAAATAATTAAAAAATTATAGTTGAATTTTTTTTTAAAAGATTTCAAAACATCCAAAAAAAATGGCTGAGAATCCAAAAAAAATATTTATCATGTGAACCAAATACATATAAACCAAAAACAAAATCAGTCAGAAAATGGCGGAGAATCCATACAGAGATGAACGAGCTTCCTCTGGTACTGCTGAAAGCATTCCACCACTGACGTCACATCTTCGCTGCTCTGTTCCAATCCTGACATAATACTCGTCGACTCGCTCAGCAACTCAGTTCGTGACTCGTTCTCCGACTCACCAGACCTGGTCGAGATCTCCGAGTTGATCTCCCTGCAGGCTAGGACGAACATTGCTGACGTGTCTGGATTCTGACGTTCCCTAACCGCTGCAAGAGCTTCCTGAAACGCTCCCGCCGCTACGTATAGTATCACTCCCCTGAGATTTCGGTTTACGTAACGGTGACCAAATTGAATCCGATATATAAACTGAGTGGTTATGATATTTTCATAACCGAAAAATCGAACCTAAACCGAATATAAAAATAACCGAAAAAAAAATCTTTAAATGTACTTCGAAAATAAGCATTTTTTATAGTTAAAAACCGAATCAGAACAAATCTGGATCCAACCTAAAACCGAATGGATATAAATTTTCTAACACTGAAAGAATACAATCTGAAATAAAGAACTGAACCCAAACGAAAACCGAAATGCTCACCCCTACCCGATATATACCCTAAACATAATTATTGTATATTTTTCTATCTCGGGTTTCATTTCGTTGATATCGATATCGGTATAATCTTTCGTTAAAAAGGAAATGAATATCGAGTTCGGGACAAGGAACAGACTTTAGCTTACCTCCAGACGTTGTGTTCATTGTGCAAAACGTGCCCTGCCCATCTTTGTAATACCCTGAAAATGCATAATAACAATGATTTTATCTGGCGAAAGTTATCGAATAAAAATACGGCGATGAATAATAAGAATCTGTCGAAACCTCGCGTAGTCAGATCCCTTCAGATGCGTCGCGGCCAATGTTGCGGAATCTGTCCAGAAACCAGAGTCTTGAAGCTGGAGAGACCCAGATGAAGTTTACATTACAAAGAAATCCAGAGATTCTGTGAATGGATCGGTGTATAAACAGGACGGGTTCGCGGGTATCCAAAATGTGGGTATTCGGCAGCGAATGAGACCGAGCACAGGTGGGACGAGACGAAGAATCCAGACCACGGATTCAGTTCGGGTTTTACCATCGGGTGACAGGTTACCCACAAGTACCAGCCGACAGTGCAAAATACTGTTTATACCTCTGGTGTTTTAGGGTAACTATAATAATATCTAGATCTATTTTCGTCCAAAATTAACATTATACCCTTAATGTTTAACTCAGATCAACAGAAATTTGAAGGTTTTTGCCAGTTTGGATATCTGAGGGTACCCAACCATCAGTTTGTGGGTACCCGAGTCTCATGAAGCCAAGGCTGAGACCGGGTATCCAAAAAACTCGGGTAACCAGACTGGGCCCACACCTACTGTACGACATGTTTAAGATGTTATAAACCCGAAATAGTTTCAAGAAGCAAAACCTTTTACCTGGGAGCATGCTTCTTGATATCTTCCGACAGAGCAAAGGAGATGAATTCCCGAAAGCGATCTATCTGATCTCACCATGTTTGCTGCAACTACCTTGGGTGATATTTTAACATCTTAGCACCCATATAAAAGAGAAAAACTTGCCTTGATCTCTGCTGATTCACAAGGTTTCAATGAATTATTGATCCATCCTTACCTTCACCGCAAGCTCGAGAAGTGATTTCGAGACGGTAGAAGACAGAGCAACTGCCCGAAGGGCGTTTGGATAGAAGTAAGAGCTGTCCGGAGACGTCGACAGTAACAGGCTAACTGCAGCTTCCAAGTTTCCGACTGAGACAAGCCTATTCATCAAAACAGAATGGTATCGACGAACTTCTCGTTACATAACCTCAAAAAATTTCGGGTAAATATTGGAACTAACTCATGTACTCGGTTTTGAACAGCCTCTTCCCCTTCTAGTTTCTCGTGCCACGGGATACGCTCATTTGCACATTCCCATAACTCTTCTTGCTCGAATGCCATTGTTCTGATCTGACCTGCGCACTGTTAACCAGACAAGCAATTCACATCGGTAAACATGTTTTTCCGGTACATAGTTTCATTTCACTGAATAACTGACTAACCAGCGAGCCATTATTTTCGGTTCTTGAAGTTGATGTTCCCTTCGATGTAATTCTCCCGGAAACAACTGTTTCGTCAAAATCCGAATACGACGCCGAGGCAAAAAGCTTCTTCGGGGACTTGTTTGCTAACTTGTTCATCAAATGGTTCATAGCATTAGGCAGTTGTAACCAGAAAAGCGCTTCAGAGACTTCCCCGAAAATTGCAGCCGCAAATGCAAATCTAGCGGCACAACCCTTGTTAACCAGACTAGAATACAACTTGGCTTTCTCATCATCGAGTAGACAACCTATATCGATATAAACATCATGGCTATTGATCAGACAAAACCTAGAAATTGTTATGGACATCAATAGGATAATGAAACTGACCTTCTGCACGATATGGTTCTAATACTTTAAGTAACATTTCCAGCACTGCAGGGTCACCGACAGGTGGAGTATCGATCATGTATGTCCGAAGATCTTTGGAAGATGAAGTTTTCCCGGGAATGAAATGAGGTCGTTTCTCGATACACGTGCTAGAAGTATTAAACCAAGCTGGTTTCACACCCAATTGCAATATCATCCGCAATGCCTACCATATAGACCGTTGTTAAGGCAGAGACCATCCATTCAGTTCATATTAAGAACCATACTACGTAATGTAATTTACCAAAGCATGAGGTATCGGGAGTAGGACAGGAGTGCATAAAGGCAGAGGACGGAATCTCTCCTTACTAGCTTTCGGATTGGAGACTTGGCTAGTCATTTTCTCGTTCCTGCATGGATTCAATTCAGTAACACATAAAAAGGCTTCACCCGGTTTCATAACTTCAGAAGAAGGAATGAAATTCCGTGTTTTCTAAAGGCGGTACATTCTGAAACAGATGCGGCACTTACACATGAACCTCGACCATGCGAAAGCTGCTATCTGTTCCAGCAATGCACAAGACAAGTGGATCGGTTTTGTCAGTTCTCAAGGGCAACCAATCGAATTGCAGTACGAGAGTGTCGGGAAACTGAGGCTGCAAAACAGAGATGGCCGATGGGTCGGGGGAATCCTACAATAACAATACAAGACATCATTACTAAGGACTTGGAGTTTTACTAAGAATGATAATGTTGCTCTAGCAAGGACAAGTAAAACAATAAAGGAAAAATGTGATGATCGAAAAAAATGATCTTTCATTTCAACTTTAGAAGTTATAAGCTATCTTACGAGATCAAGAATGCAGAATGAGTTGTCATCAAATAACACGGAAACCCGTCCTCTGCTACCGTCTTCAGCGACAAAAGGCAAAAATTTGATATTTCGGATTCCTTCTCTGTAAGTGTTAAATGCGGAGGAGTTTCCTGTTGTTACATCCCACCACCGTATGGTCCCTAACTTATCACCCGTAACCTATTAAACGAATGTCTTAAGGCATTGACATATGAGCAACAAGAAAATGACTTCCAGGGGCATGAGTACATACAACATGAGGTAATCGATAGGCCATAGCAGTAATCAATCCCTCGGAAGATATGAACGAAGGTGCTGGCCATTTTGGTCTAACCGAAGCGGAGAATCCGTCGTATCAGCAACAAAGAAATGGAAATATGCCAAGTAGAAAACAGGAAAGAAATCAACCTGAAATCTCGAATTCTCCTCCCATAAACTTCGAATACTCCTAGTGCACCATTTACCAGTGCAAAAGCAAAACTCTCAGAAGCATCATCTTGGTATCCATCAGCACCAACAGCTTCTGTGGACAGTAAGATCCATTCTTTAAGTAATAAGTTTTGAGGAACAATGAAGAGAAAATTTTAGACAATTGCTTACTAGAGTCTGAAGTTTTAGGAGAAGGAGCTCCATCAGGGGTAGCATCAGTTTTCTGTTTAGAGGATATCGAGAACTGTCTTGAAAGACTGGTTTGAACTGAGCATAGAATAGTTGGGAGGGTCCATTCTATTACAGTGAATGGAAGCGCTAATGATCTAAGCTACATGGAAATAAACTCGTCATAATTATATGAATTACAAACCACAAAAGAAAGATTTAGAAGTTAGACAAATAATGTCATAATAATAATAATAATAATAATCTCTGAGTTGTCTGAACCCAACTTACCATCACAGGGCTTTTAGTCATCGCCCATACTTCAACTGGAGCATCACGAAACAGAATGAGAAGATACCTGGAAACAATTATAACCTCTAGATTGTTTTATCACTACATTAAACCCGGAAATAAGACGAGAAACTAACCTCCCAGAAGATGAAGCCCTCAGAGCTCTTATGGGAGCTCGCTCAGGCTTTTGCAAAACTCGAAAGCCTTTACTAATTCCACTCCTAAGACAAGTAACAAAGAGCTTATTATTGTATCCACCTGTCCGCTCGCTTACCTGAAATACCAAATGCACCAGCAGCAAGATCACAAATGGGATAATACACTAACAACGATCAACTATGTATAAATTCTAAACCTTTCTCTTTACCCGGCTATAAGAAAACGAAACGAGTCTAGAATTTCCAAGCCATTTTAACCCCCTGACACTACTCGAATGAGCAGAAAAACTTGCTGCAACGGCATTTGCGGACACATCAACAACATCTATTGTCCCACCTTCAGTTCCTAAAGCTATGAGAGGAACAACTACAGCGGGCGTATTTCCTCCACCTACAAAACCATTCATTTTCATTGATCAAAATCGCGGATAATACTTGGGTAGCATAAATATCATGAGTAGAGAATGTAACTAACGAGCCAATGTTGCCGTCATTGACGGGGATGGCACAGCAAGAATAGTCACTGTGGAAGAAAGAAGCTGAAGTTGTCCAACTAAGCATATCTGCAGCAGCTTAGGGTCAGTAAAAGTGGAACAACATAAGCAGCAGACAATTTTGGAAGACAATAACAGATTATATATAAACGGTACAAACATTATCTTCAGAAGAAAATACCCCATCACACACCTCAAATGATGTATCGGATTGAGGATTTTGATTATCATTCATGGAGCTCTCTAGCTGCCTTTCACTAGTCTCGTGATTAGCATCCCCAGCTCTTTTGACAGTCAAGATCCAACTCCATATTTTGCCATCATCAGACAGAGATATCAAACTAGTCTTTGAAACAAGCAAAGCATCATGGTTGAAATCAAAAGGAGTATCAAATTCCAAATCATTGGAAAGAGCGTTCGAGTATATCTTCCTGACGTTTTGGAGGGTTGAGTCCAATTGCGAGATCAAAACAACGAGTAGGCATGGCGACGGTACAGAATTACCAATCGGAGGCATCAATTCCTCAATTCCACACAACACATGGACCTGTTCTCCTCTGCGACAGCACCAAAACAGATCACATTTCATGAAAGAACAAAAAACACAATGTGAATACATCATGATTCAATTCATGTCTGTCTTACTCTTTCCTTCGCCAAATGCTGAGTCTACCATCGAGATGAACACAGTAGAGCAACTCCTGATTTGGGTCAGGCAAAACATCTACAAACTTGGCGAACCCACGAGGCAATGCTGCTTCGTAGAGTGCAGTTTCGTACTGTAAATCATACACGACAAGCTCTCTGGGAAAAGAAACGAACAAGATGTGTTTCCAATGTGGAGAGAAAGCGAAGCGAACACCGTAGAACGGAAAAACTGCGGATGCCGGAGAGGATGACGAAGGAGGAGACGAGTTACTGCTACTGACGGCGATTTCACGCTCCAATTTCTGAAATTCCGCGCAATCGATTCGCATCTGAAATTCCTTCAATGCGACTTCATTCTCTGTGTTTCCGAGAACTTTCACGGAGAGGAGAAACCCCTTGAGACCCACGACGCAGAAATGGCGAGAATCGAAGGGATCGCGACGTATACATGACATGAACTCAGGAGAAGCGTCGTATTTCCAGAAGACGTTACCAGAATCGGTGTACAACGAGATAGAAGAGGGACCTGAAATTGCGGCGAGGACGTAAGTATCAGGCCGAGCCAACACCCAACAGAGGTCCTGAACTCCGCCGCGGCGGAGCTTCTCGGTGGTGTTATGACCATGTTTCTCGAGCCATAGGAGGACGGATCGGAGGCGGAAATCGACGAGGGCGATGCGGCCGAGACGATCGCCGACAGCAAGGAAAAGACCGGAGGAGGAACCGATATCTCGCCGGAAAGTGACCGGAGACCAGCGAACGGATGTGATAGTGGAAGGGAAAGGAATGGCGGCAGAGGAAGGGGAAGGGAGAGGCACGGTGGAGATGAGCTGGAGAGAGCGAGAGTCGACGACGGAGACAGAGGAGCCGGCGGCAAAAGCGAGGAGACCGGACGGACTGAGATCTGTGGCGGAGCAATTGCTCCGGCTCGGCGGTCCGGGGAGGATACTTGTCGCCGGCGACGGCGAAGACGGCGGCATATTTGAAATTTGTCGTTTTGTGGGGTTGGAATTTGTGGGGCCCCATGTTTGGTGTTTTTGGAGGGAGAGAGAAAGGAAAGCCAGTAAAAGCTTGGCTTTAGGCTGAAGACTCTCTATAACTGAAAAACCAAACCATTTGGATCTTCTTTCTTTTTTTTTCTACTCTCCTCGTTATTTAATAATTTTTCTTTTGGATTTTTTATGCACAATTCTTTTTTCTTATTTCAATCCAAATACACCGTATAATATATTATTTATAAATCATGCATAACGATTATGACATTTTAACATTTTATCAATAAAATTAACATCACCGAAAAAACGAAAAACGAATATATATATATATATATATCAAATAATTTCGAGGAATTAATGTTAATTTGAAATATGAAAATTTTGTCTATATAGCGAAATCTATTTGATTACTCTGATTTTTGTCACGTAATCACACATATATAACACATCACAAACTTTTATTTGAATTCATTTTGAGTCTGATCGAATAGAACCGATTCAAATTCGATTTTTTTGATAAAAAATTTATTTAAAAAAATTGACCTTTTGATTATTTTTGTATTTCATTCAGATTTTTTTTATTTTTAAACAAATTTTATATATATTATATTTTTTATATTATATGTTATTCGATTCGAATTAATTCGATTTTGATTTTATTAATGGAATAGAAATTATTATCTGATTAAGATTTATAACCGCATAGGTTTAAATGGATTTAATGGATTTAATAGATTTAGCCATTTAAATCATAATTTTAAAACGTTAAAACCATAAATAGATTAACCTAGATAATTAATCCAAATATAATTATTATTGGGTTTGACATTTCTAAAATATTGTTTTCACACCAAAAAACAGAGTATGTAATTCTTTTTTTTTTTATGTAAATAGTAAACAGTTAAAGAGAAATTCATCTTGTACATAAACTCAAACATGCAACGAGAAATAATCAACATATTCATTTCATTTTCATTAGTGAGAGGAATATAATTTCTGGACCAAAATGGTCCATATACAAAGTTGGTTTCGGGTCTAAGGTGGATGTAGTCGGGTCGAAGACCCAGAACCATCTTGATTATAAAAAAAAACATATTCATTCTCACCTTTTTATATTCTCTCTCTATCTATCTGTTATTAAGAAATTCGTTAGAAAATTCATGAAAAAAAATGTAGCAGATATTCATACAAAAGTTTTACCTGTTGGCAAGTTCACCGTAACTTTGGGGATTTACTGCGTGTTGATGAGACTGAAGACTCTGTTTCTCTCCGAGGGTTTATGAGGACAGTTTGGTAATTGAGACTTCGGAATCGTTGGAGTTGCAATGACGAACGGAGGTAACCCTTGTCTTTCGGAAAATTAGGGTTGTCTGTTTCTCTATAAGTTATAACCATATAAAATGCAAATGCTCGAACAATTGTCTCACATATCCAATATATAAATTCATATCATATATTTTTTAATTTAATATTTCGCCGAAATAGTATACATATATGATATATATATATGTATATAACAACGGTCAACACATAATAAGGTCTGAAACAAAAATCAGTTCTTAACGTTAGAAAACTTCTTATCCTGAAAAACGTTTTATCATATATATATATATATATATATATATATATATTATATGTATATAGTACTCTATTTTCATACTAAAAGTTGATTATTGTTTGTTATAAGGATCTTTTTTTTGGGGATTTTTTTTTTATTTTTATAAAACACATAAACCTTTTTGACAAGATTTAAACGAAAATTTAAAATTTTAAAAATAAAAATAAGAGGAAATAGAAAAGGATCGTTTGTATAAAAACTAGAATTAAAATAAAATTTTAAAAAATGAACTTACGAAGGAAAGGAAAAGGAAAAGCGACCACTCTTCTTTCCAAGTACTTCCCTTTTTCACTCTTCACAAAAAAAAATGCATTAATCTCTCTCACCAGCTACTGCAGCTCCTCCTCCTTCGCCGTCGCCATAGCTTCAGCTGCTGCAGAGGAAGACAGAGCGAACAAGAAGAAGATGCCGAGGCCTGGTCCGAGGCCCTACGAGTGCGTCAAACGAGCTTGGCACAGCGATCTTCACCAACCCATCAGAGGCTCAATCATCCATAAGATTTTCAGGTTTTTGCCCTCTTCCCGTGAATCTCGGATTCGTCGGCTCTCTTCGTCTTATTTACTTTCCCGGAATCTGGAGCTTCTGGTTTTGGTGGGTTTTTCAATTGTTTCCGTGGGTTTTGATTCAGACTTGTCATGGAAGCTCACAGCGCGACGACGAAGAAGAACAAGGAATGGCAGGAGAAATTGCCGGTGGTTGTCTTAAAGGCCGAGGAGATCATGTACTCCAAAGCCAATTCCGAGGTTGTTTCCGCTGATTCTTCCGTACTGGATTTTGCAGTTATGGATCTTTTCGTTTCTTAACTTTTTTGTTTCCCTCTCGATTTGGGTTTTCTTAGGAAGAGTATACAAATGCTGAGACGCTATGGGATAGAGTTAACGATGCTGTTGATACGATCATTAGAAGGGATGAGAGCACTGAAACTGGGCAGCTTTTGCCTCCTTGTGTTGAAGGTATTGCTTTTGTTGTTTGTTCAGGATCTCAAGTTTTATGACCATTGATGTTTTGCCCGAGTTTTCCCTTTAGGTTTCAGAGTCGGGAAAACTCCTAGGATGTTAAATTACGACGAATCGGAGAGTTTCAGTGAGATTGAGAATGAACAAAGCTGTTAGAAGTCTTCATTAAAGGCTCAAGCTTTTGGTTCCGGTTCGCGTTTCTGAATTATGAATAGTTTTTAAACATCGGTCCTTTGCGAGTAGTAGTCTCTATACATGTCGTGATGGGCTTTCGGGTTTTATGTTTACTCTTTGTTAAATGTTCTAACATGCTTTTGTTGTGGTCATACTCAGCTGCCCTTAATCTGGGATGCATTGCCGTGAGAGCTCCAAGAAGCCAACGGCATAGTAACCTAAGGACATACCTCGCCCCGACAATTCAAGAACCAGTTTCCACCCCTCGTAGAACAGCGGAGACCAGTTCCAATCAGCCATACCGGGATCATCAATCTCATAAATCTGGTAAACCGAACCATACAGCTAATGCAGGAATTGCTGTGAATGTAGCTGATAAGGGTGCAAATGAAAACAACAAATTGATAGCCCCTCGTGGTTATCCATCTCTACATGGATCCATACAGATGGGGCATAGCCAGTTGGCAAGACTGGACACCAGTGCTCCCACAAACTTGGGGTCGGTCTATCCTCTCTATTACGGTGCTAATAGTCAGACTGAAAAATCGGACTGGTATCAGGGTGTCACTGAACAAACTAGTGTTACACCCATAATCATTGGCATGCCCGTCGGTATACCGGTTTCATGTCAGGGTGAGAAGGCGGGGTTTCAGGATCTTTTCTCTCGTTCAACTGCTGGTTTGGCTTCTCGAGAGACGGAACAAGCGAAACTGAAGGGAACCCGAGGTGAACCGACTAAGGCAGTCTGTGATTTGTCTTTGAGGCTTGGTCCGTCATCCGAGCCCTGTGCAAGAACGGACAAGGCTTCCTTCCTAGAAGATGCGGTGTGTAGCAATGTACGAGATTGCGGGTCTAGTCAACATTACCCGAGAAGAAAGGAAGAGTTTTGTTTTTTCTCTGGGATGAAGAAGAAGGATGTCTTTGAACCAGATCGGGGTCAATGGTTCTCGAGTTACGAAGGTCAGAATTCAGATTTAAGCGTGAAAAAGCGAAAAACAATGTTCGGAGACACCCTATAGGATGTAAAGAGGGCCAGGTTTGTAATCAGTATTATGACTGTACTAGTTTTTGGGTATTCATTTCAAAGCCAAATGATTTCTTCAACAATGCAGTGGATTCATCATTCTTGGATTGTCGGGTTCTTTCTGACCCGAATGGAAAATTTTACTTGCTGAACGCCGAGTGAACTCGACGAGGAAAGAAGCGGGAAAGACTAAACAAGAAACTCAGGTAGGAAGGAACTGCCATACTGATTTTTATAAATAAATTTATTTTATTAAAACAATAATAAATAGTAAAAAATTAAAAATAAACCGAAACAGGACGGCAACCCTTTTCTCTGTATATCAACCTGTGCTCTTTGGAAATGAATCTAGATGTTAAAGCTAGACTTGTATCTAGCGATTCCTGCTTTGTGTTTTCATTGCCCTTCAGGGAAAAGAAATCAGACCCTCATTTGCCGGTATCGGGAAGAAGAAGAACCTCGATGCTCTGAGGGTTTTGCTTCCTGACCTTATGCAGGTAACAAGAGAGTAACTTCTGTTCATTTCCATGGCGATATATATATATATTTTTTTTGGAATGGCAAAGTCGTTTTCTCCATTTATGTTGTAGGACAGAGGAGCTCTCAAGATGATGTATGATACAGACAGGAGTAGACAACGAGACGAGACCCCTTTGTATCAATGCTTGATGTCCACTGCTACTCGGGTGTACGGAAATCACTTGTCGCTCTCATTTGTCGGAATCTCTCTGTGTGTGTTGTTCTCCCTGTCAGGTGCCCTCTTCCATGTGAAGGGTCCCGAGATTTCTTGCAGGAAGGACAATTAGTGTGTGAACCACCAAGTGATTCTTCTTCATTTGCATTGTCACATTGTAACAGATCACTCCAAAGATTCTTCTTCACGAAAGCTTTCGCCTGAATTCTTGTGGGGTTTTTGCAAGTAACTCATCGAATGATTTTGACAGTGGGATTCATCTGTCTTCTCATGTTGTACTGCACCCGAAGCTGTCACCGACTATATACTCGGCGCGGCCCAGCCCAGCCCGACTCGTTCCGATCTGAAAAAAATTTAGTTCAGTTCAATCCGGTCTGTTTTTTAGCGAGCCATAAATATATCAGTCCAACCCATATCGTCTTAGCCCACGAACCAAACGAGGCAGCCCGCGAATCAAATATATAATTTTTAAAAATAAAATTTTAATACTAAAAATATCTAAAACTAATTTTTATATTTAAAAAATATTTAAAATATAATAAAAAATAAAATTTTAAACAAAAACAAACTAAATATGTAATAAAAAAATATAATTTGTATATAAAAATATTAAAATAATAAAAAAAAACAATAATTTTTTTTTGGCCCGCGAACCAACCCGGCTCGTGATGAACTGGCCCGTCATGAGTCCAGTTCGTGATGGACTGGCTCCTTTGGCCCGGTTTTTTTTTTACTTAAATATTTTGAGCCTCGGAAAAATAGGCCCCCGTCCGACGACTCGTTTTACATCCCTAATCGTTTTTACAAACGATTCGAGCGGTTCCTTAGAGACGTGAGCAAAGACAGTTTTTGTGTGTGTGAAAATTTTGACATTTCACCCATTAATGTAATGAAATGGACGGTTCGATTTTGTCTTGTAGATCTGAACATTGGTGCATCATAAATCAATGGCTGCGATTCGTTCTTTGAGATCGAACGGGTAAGATTCGTTCATATAAATCAACGGTTCAAATTCTTTCTACGAGATCTAACGACTCGGATCAATTGAACAGAAATCAACGGCGCAGATCCTTCCACTCAAGAAGATCCAACAGTTCACATGCTTATAAAGCAATTGTCCATTCGATCAGGAATCATATCTAAGCCGTTGATTACATAGATGTATTGTGAACCGTCCGATCTGAAAGATTGAATCAGAACCATCAATTTAGATGCTTAAAGCTGAACCGTTGGATCTAATAGAAGAAGTAGCCTCCCCCCCGTGCACGCCGCTTTGAACATTAACCGTCCGATCTGCAGAGCGATTTTAACCGTCCATTTACATGTAAAAGCATCTGAACCGTTGGGGATCTGATAGGTTAAATCGAAACCGTTGATTGTTTTTTGAAATTATATGAACCATCGGATCTAAAGTGGCGAATCTAAACCATTGGTTCGTGCGAATAAACATAAACAGCCCGATTTATAGCAGCGGATCCGATAAACGTTTATTGACCGTTGGATCTGGTAGATCATGATTTCATTCAATTAATCAAATTATGCAATACTTTATAATCTAAAGTAGGAGTAGCCTAGTTCGGTTAAATTCGTATTTGATTATTTCGGTTATATCATTCGGTTTTTATATGAATTTTAGATCGGTTTTATTTCGATTAAATTCAGATTCAGTTTTTTATTTATTAAAAAACTCAATTTTTGAAAAAAAAAATCAATTTTTTTATTATTTTTTCGGTTCGATTTAAATCCGATTTTTTTGAATTTAGGAAAATTATAACTGTTCGACTTTTATATTGCATTTGATCCGGTTACGATTATATCCTATTCGATTTGGTTCAGTTAATAAACAAAACGATCACCCATCAAAATTATGAGCAGGAGTGGAAATGAAAAGAACACGGTTACAGTTTTGGCACCAGACATGAACACATACTTGCCAAACTGTCTTCTAAGGGCTACCAAAGAGACAGAAACAGTGAAAACAGAGGAACAATCTTTTCCGTGTCGTGAATACGATCATCGGGTTTCGCCCGAATCTCATTTCTACATACTCTTGACATCCGAGGACTCAAAACCGCGCTGCAAAAACCGTGTCAGATTCTCGATTCTTATCAAATATGAACACACAAATATCAGGGTCTGTTCTCTAGTCAGCTCTGGTTCTACTTCCTCTCGAGATTCCTCGCTCGAATGAGATATTTTTGGCAGATCCTTTACTCGCAGGTTGACTGATCCTCACTCGGGGAGTTCCGTCCTTAGGCTTCTCGGTATCGGTGTGATCCTTTGTTTGTATATTCTTACACTGAGGAGAATGTCTGGTCGGTGTCTGAACATGACTCTTCGAAGCTCTGGTTCCTTTTTTCTCCTTGTTCCTGTTTATGGTTCCGATCATTTCATCATTGTCTGCATCAAGAAGAAATCACCAGCTTCATTGTGTATTAAGAAAGCCGAAATCCAAAGATTTCGACTCATTTCAGAAAGGGAAACACATTTCAGAAGAGGGCCTTTGAATGATTTGCTTAGTGCATTGTTTGTGAAGAGAAAAAACCCGAAAATTTCGTTTAATTATACAAACATTTTATTCCCCAAAGGATACATGTTGAAATAAGCCGAACCATTGTAAAGATTAATCCTTTTGGCATTTATAAAGTTTTCCACAGCGAAATACCGATCTCGGTCCATAAGCATATCAAGAATTATACAAAAGGCATAAAGAACTGAGAAGTAATCGTTAGTTAAGCCGAAGCTATCGGGACTAACTCAGTTGGAAGAAAACTTATATCATACCGGGACTAGATATGACAGCACGCGGACGTAGAATCGGACTGGACTTGGTGTTGGATTTCACTTCTCCATTAACTTCTCGATGAATCTTACCGATTTCTGTATCAGCTTCACCATGTAATGTAAACAAAAAACCAGTTCCCTAAGGTTATGCAAAAACCGGAGAGAAAGAATTTCAGACCTTTGGACATGGAGGCCGGGGGTATGATGACACTTGGTATGTAAATCTTCGGAATCTTGGGCACAGATATTCGGGGATTTTCATCTTCTTGATCGACTGCATAGGTTAGAAAGAAAGGATCAACCAATTGATTCAAGCAACGAGATTTTTTCGAAACTAAATCAAGAATCACATAAACAGGACAGGTTCGATCGGAAG